TAAAATATAACTTCTCCTTGGGAAGATATAAAATAAAAGCCATAAAATTCTGAATAAAACAAGAAAAACCGTTATCTTGTACATATAAAAAGTAAGTAAGTACCAAAGTTACGGCAGTTCTTAAATTTTAACACAAGTTTATAATGACTTTAAATCAATCATGTTTATTTAGATTCCAAATACCACTATTTCCAAGGACATTAAAATGACGTAATTCTATTTATTATTTTAAAACAGAAATATCTAGTTAGTACGGGTTTATTACTTTTAATTATCTTTGTCTACTTTAAAACCATCTAGATACATTACAAAGTCAATATAAATGCACACGTATTCATTAGGAAACACGAGTACAACATGTGCAGACAACAAACAATCGACTTTCGATAAGACGTAGTAAATAAATGAAATATATTCTTTATAAGTCTATTTCTCCTTCGCTTTAGTTACAATCATTGCAAGGATAAGAAACGGCAGGAGTAGGAGAAAGATGAGTAGGAGTTTGATAATCTCAATTTATTGCCAACTTTTAGGAGGTTTGCGTGTTTTATCCGTTACGTTTGTTAATTTCTTTGTTATGATTATTTATTAAATTGGTTTCAATTATTTCGTGTAATGGTTCGTTATAAAAAATTAAAAAAAACAAAATAAATGATTCATGATGTTCTTTTATTTTCCCTTAATTTATGGTGATCTCTCGTAGGGTTTACACATTGGTTATTCGAGGAATAATGTAAATAATTATAATTGTGATTGTAATTTAATTTAAAATTTCCGAAATTGAAATGCCACGAAATACTTATAAATATATGCATGTGTTTTGTGTATGATTTATTAAGTAAATGTTGTGTTAGTTAGTTGGTTAGTAAGGTTAGTAAGTTAGTTAGTTAGTTAGTTAGTTATTAGTTAGTTAGTAGTTAGTAAGTTAGTTAGTTAGTTAGTTAGTAGTTAGTTAGTTAGTAGATAGTTAGATTAGGTAGTTAGTTAGTAGTAGTAGTTAGTTAGTTAGTTAGTTAGTAGTAGTTAGTTAGTTGTTAGTTAGTTAGTTAAGTAGTAGTTAGTTAGTTAGTTAGTTAGTTAGTTAGTTAGTTAGTTAGTAGTGTAGTTAGTTAGTTAGTTAGTTAGGTAGTTAGTTAGTTAGTTAGTTAGTTAGTTAGTTAGTTAGTTAGTTAGTAGTTAGTTAGTTAGTTAGTTAGTAGTTAGTTAGTTAGTAGTTAGTTAGTTAGTTAGTTAGTTAGTTAGTTAGTTAGTTAGTTAGTTAGTTAGTTAGTAGTTAGTTAGTTAGTTAGTAGTTAGTTAGTTAGTTAGTAGTTAGTTAGTTAGTTAGTTAGTTAGTTAGTTA